ACAGGTTACACATTAATTGTTCATTAGAGTTTCAACAGAGTTTCAACAGTCATTAAGAGGTTTCGCCCACAACCTTAATGCTACCACTATTATTATTAATGCTACTACTATTATTAATATCACCACTATTATTATTATTTATCATTAACACCATCCACTATTACTATTACTATAATATTATTATTCGTTATTAATACCACCACTAATACTATTGTTAAATTTTTTTTAAAGGAATGACGTCATGAATATTTTTATTTTTAAATTTTTTGTATCATGGATATTTACGGATATTCACAAACATTTCTCTCAATATCCGTTGAATATCCGTGAGATAAAATTGATATCTGGATAGTCGCAGATATTCACGGATATTCACGGATACTATCCGACGGATATAACCACTAGATAGAAGTATTGCGATAAAGAAAGAAATTTTCTGTATTTTGAATCAGCTTTTTACGCCACTGGTATTTTTAATCCATTAAATCTTTCCATAGCTCTAAAGTATAATGTATATACTGCCTTTCATGGAAATTTAATGCCTATATCTTTGAAAACGGAGGAGGAGTAGTGTTTTGAAAACAATGTTCTATACGTAAATTTTGGAAATTCTGTAAGTGATATGCAGATCACAAAAAAAAATCACATATAACCAATCAATATATGACATTAATTAGTTTGGATTTTCTTAGAATGTCGCACACCCCAATAATTGATTGTGAATAAAAAAAACAAATTGAATGAATATATAAAAACAAGTAGATATAACTCTAAAATTTCAAGCACATACTTTTGTTTGTTGTAGTATCTAACAAGGTAATTCAGAGTTAATTCAGGACAAACTTAGAAGATGGAATAAAAATAACCAAAGAGAAATAAGTTAACTAATGTTGTAAACAGTATACAATATTCTCACAAACAAACAAATAAATGAATGAATGAAAAATATTTTTTTTTATGCAATTTGTTCATTACCTTTCCCTCCATGTAACATTTCTTCATACAATGCCCACCTAACTTCCTTTTCCTTCACCAATCTTGCCTTTTCTTCCTTTAATTCATCCATCTCCCATATCTCTTTAAAATCCCTCAAGTTCTCCTCCTTCATAAACTCCTCCAACTTCCATTTTGCTTCTTTGTATTCTCTTACAACTTCTAATTGGTTTTCACTTCCTTGAAAGTTGTCATTTTTTAAAAATAAAAAAAAAAGATTCAAAACTCAAACAATGTTTTTTATTGATAAGCAATGCAATATGATGATCATTAATTAAGTTTGCATAAAGGAGAATTTTCTTTGTAGTAATAGTCAGTAAAAAAAATTGTAATAATAAGATTATTTTCTTTCTAAGGGTTCCTGCTTTTTGTTAGGTAATAGCACACTTTTATTTTGTTTTCTTTTTCTAACATTTATGATTTTTCTTTCTTCTTGGTAAATTTCATAAGTAATCCTTTCTTTTTTTAGATAAGCTTCAAGTGTTTGAGTATCATT